ACTCTAATTAAAAAAGAAATCAACACTTAAAATTAAAAATTTTAAAATGAAATAAAATTAAAAAATTAAAATTTTATTTTAAAATATCAGATTTAATATTTCATCTAACCTAACTGAAATTAAATCTATCTAGAATCAAATTAATGAAAAAATAAATTTATAAAGAATAAAAGTTTAAATATTAAGTAAAATTAAATATTTAAAAAAAAAAGAAAACAAAGTGCCATGATTGACTTTTCACAACTTTGTTTGAAAACTGCTTCTTTTTGTGCCATGATATGTAACATTAAAACAGATCAGTTATCATAAACGTGCCGATACAAAAACTAAAAAGTATGTGTTGATGGCAGACACAGAAAAAAAATTACATGAACTCCTAGACAAGGTAATAAATGAAGTGTGAACATCTCCAAAACATTTCTATCCCTTAAAGTAGATTCATTGCTCGAGCCAATCAGAAACTATTTTCTAATCAATCGCTTTTTGCTGTACACAGCTGGCTTTGGGATCCTATGGACTGATATAAAATGGATTCTAAAATCCACAATCATCCATCTACTCCTTGTGAGCAATTAAAAATCACATCTCTCCAGCAGATTTCTTTGACATTTTCTCACTCTATGTATCTCTATCAATCAACAATCATAGACAAATCAGTACAGTGCCGATGACCATTGGCTCTTCCAAAGGGACATATTCAGTTCTATATTCAACCTACAACTCACCGCATAGGCTGCCCATTGAGATCAAAACAATCACAAACACCTGTTGAGTTATCATAACATCCCTGCCAAATTCAGTTTGTTGATTAATCTATATTCTCTTGGCATCAGTTTAAATGGACAGCCTTTTCTACATATTGTGACCGTTTTGCTTAAAGTTTTTATTTTCATGATTTCAGAAGAAAATTTGGAAATTTCCCAATATATTTCAGTGAAATATTTCCTTTCAAAAATTATCATTTATAATTATAGCTGATATATATGGGGGGGGGTCACCATTTTAAACTGACACCCTCCTTTTTCCATATATTGTAACAATTTTGCTTAAAGTTTGTATTTTCTCAATTTCAGATGAAAACTTGGAAATTTTCAAGCTATTTCAGTGAAATTTTTACTTTCCAAAATGATGTTTATATTTATAGTGTAGATATGTGTTAAAAAAAGAAGACATCAGCTTAAATTGATGACAAGGATATAGGTTGAAGTAATACCTTCTTTTATTTATTTATATATATATATATATATATATATATATATATATATATGAACCATTTTGCTTAAAGTTTGTATTTTTTGATTTCACACGAAAACTCAGAAATTTTTCAATATATTTCAGTGAAATTTTCACTTTCCAAAATGATTGCTTATAATTATCGTTCAAATATCTGGAGGAAAAAAAAAGAAGTCATCAGTTTAAACTGATGCCAGGAGGATAATGGTTTAGAAGAAACAAGTTTATTGTAATCCTGATTCCTTTTGTTGTTGTTTTTACAGCTAGCTACTTTATTCTTAATTTATACTTTATCATTGGTGACCTTTTCCATAATTATAGCTGTGGAAAATACATAGGCATACAAACCACTGATAGGGTCTGGTTCCCCATGGACATACAAGAATTAGTATCTTCTAGATTCTGGCTTAGTTCAAATAAACAAAAATCAAACATACAAGTTGTTTTTCAAATGTTTTGAGTGTATTTACCTACAAACTGTATCCTATTTACTGTTTGTTACTAAAATAAACAAATAAAAAACATATCAAAATTTGTGAGTGACACATCTTCAACTATAATTATAAGAGATGAAAACTCACTACACAAACTTGTTTTTCTCAACATTATTTGTTTTCATAAAAAGGAATAAGAAACTCAAATCAAAATTGGAGAGACTTAGTCATCCATGAGGGAAAAATTAAAGAAATGACGAGCATATTCACTTTCTAATATTTAAATGATAAGTCATCTTTTATGTTTCATCATATTTATCAAAATGTTCTTGAGTTATTATAGAAGAAAAACTAATTTGTATATGCACACATATAAAATTAATTACTATCCACAGAATTAGTCATATTAATAGGGAAGCTATGGAAGAAAGCAGCAGTCTTTCAGCTTGCATCTCCTCCATTGTGGTCATTATTGTATCCATGATATAATAACACCTTGAAACACAGACAGAATGGTATAGCTGAAAGAAAACAAATGACAAACATACTTTGTTCTCAAAGAGAGTTTTATATCCTCAAGTCATACACAAAACTATATACACATATTTACATTTACCCCATGCAGAGAAACTATAACATATGCCAACACAACAAGCAGAGTGAAAAGGATGCAAAAAGATAGGGTATTATTTGTAATAATTTTCAATCGGAATTGAAGCTACTGGAGATTGTGTTTTTGGATAAGCCATATTTAGGATTCCAGATTTGAGTAGGCTGATTTTATCTGCTATGTCACTAGTGAGGACATATTCCTCTCAAATAAGAAACAACAATTATGTTTTTTCCCAAACATACAAACTGCGAGCCGGAGATAGTTTCTATATCTGGAAAAGATATATTCCCTAAAGGAAAACAGTACCGTGGGGCTTATAAGCTGCACCATGTGGGCAGAACGAACAACTTGTGTATCTTGATTTCAGGCAATTAACTGACAGACGCTTTCATCACTCTATGAAATAAAGGCACTGAACAGACATCATGTGACCAATATGACTTCATCTCAACCAATTGCCTTTTGTATCCCTACAATGCTAAGCCAGTGTTTAAAGCAGAACTTTCCAAACTAGTGTGTTATATGTTATTACATGTAATATTTTATATTACATTATTATGTTAATTTTTATTGGAAATTTAAGAATTATCATTATTATATTCTTTGATATTTGAACCAGTTTACTTATCTTCATTGTAATATTTTGTTGTACTTTCAATATTTTGGCTTGTGTACTCTCCAACCTTCTTAAGGTATTCATACTCAGTAACCTTTCTGGAATTTCAAACCCAACTCTTTTTTTCAATGACTGGTTTGTATTAACAGATATGAAATATTCCTTAAAATGGGATGTGAACAATCTTTTTATTTTTAATAATTTAAACCCAAGCAAGGCAATAATGCCACCAAGATACAAGGGTTTACTGGGAGTGAAAGAGAATGAGAAGACATTAACAAGGAGAAAGGACAATAAAAGAACAAGATTCAGCAAGACAGATGGCGATTGACATTGCATTTAAATTTTTGAAGATCGAAGGTGGCAGGGAAGCAAGAAACTGGAAGAGAGTTCCATGGGCAAGAAATGCAAGAAAAAAAACAAACAATTAAAATACAACTTAGTGACATCTAGCTAATTCAAAAGCAAAATGATGAAGCCTGATTGCCAATCTAGAGGTACGCTTAACTTCATGTGGTCAAGGTACCAAGGAGGAGAGCTTGCCATGAAAATATTTATAGAAAAGATAGAAGGAAGCCATATCACTGTGGTAGGAAAGTGACTGGAGTTGAGATGCCAGGTTAGGACCAATAACATTACAGACTCTTCTTCTGTGGATTGTGTTGAGAATCGGGAGATATATAACAGGAGCAGCAGACATCCCTGTGGATTGAATAAAGTGTTCAATTCAAAATCCCAAGATGGCTACTGAGTATAAAGATCAACACCTGAAGATGGTTAGAGTTGAAATGTTTGATTATAACAACCAAGACAGGTAAAGTAGATAATGCACTACTTTAGTGTGGGATTGATAATTAATTAATATTAAATATCTTATTTATTTTTGTTTTGTATACATTTTAGATTATATATTTGACTTTGCATACTAAACTTAATTTATTTACAGTCAATCTAATGTCCTCATCTTTGTTGGCATTCTAGGTGTCTTTTGACCTAGGTAAGCATCAGGGAATTTTTAACTAAACCCTTTATTTAATCTACAGAGAGAGAATGTTCTCATTCTGTTGCCCATGTCTAGGGATATCCCATCTTATTTTTTTTTTTTAGTACTGCTCAATTATTGCACACACTGTTTCCAGTCTGAATCTGTACTACTGGGCCCTGGGATTGAACTCATAATTACTTCTATACTACTGCTCAGTTATTGCTCACCCAATTTCCAATAAGTATGAAATTGGTAGTATAGACTCAGACACAATGGGAAACAGAATTAACAATAACTGAGAAGTACTAAAGAAGAACAAGATGAGATATCCCTAGATATGAACAGCAGAATGAGAACAACCCACCCATGTAAATTAAATAAAGGGTTTAGTTCAAAATTCTTTGAAGCTTACCTAGATTGACAGGCATCCCAAGAAGACATGAGAGCACAACAGCTGAAACATGAAAATAACAACCAAGATGTACTTAATGTAATTAATGATAACTTTTCATACCAGAAATTTTTGGACAGAAAATTTAAGTAATATATCACAAAAGTATTTACTTAAAAATAAAAGTTTGAAAAGTTCTAGTTTAAGATAAAGAATTAACATAGTCATGAAATAATTGTACTTATATAAACATAACTTACCAGAAAAGAATCCTGAAGTTTTTTTAAGTCTTTTTTATGTAAACGTGATTCCAATTTGCCTGCCATAGCACCTGGTTTACTGAAAAAAAAAAAAAAAAAGAAAGATAACAGATAAATAGATTGAAAGACTTATATGGTGAGTGTTTCAAAAAATATTAAAATTTGATGAATGACTAAAGAGCTAAATTATATGATAATGATTTTATGCGATGATTGATTGTTTGTTTTTATGGCTTATCAACCCTTTGCAGGTTATTTAAAGCCAGAAAATATTTTTAAATTTTAAGAATTTTTATGGAGATAATAATGATTTACTGGTTCAAGTCCTACTAATTAACCCATTGCTGAGGGGAGAAGAGATGGATTCATCCCTTCCCAAGGATATTTGTGCATAAGTGAATATAACAAACCCAATTGAAATTGGAATTCAATTCTCCAATTTCCAATACTGAGTTATTATCCATTAAGCTTACAGCACCTGGTATTCTCAAGCAGTCACCCATCTAGGTACGGCACAGGCTCAACTTTGCTTAACTTTGGTAATTTTATGAGAACCAATGTTTTAATGGGTTATGGCCATAAGCTTTTATGGGGTATAGCGCTGAGCATAAAATCTGATATTTTAAGATTGGCATTAATGGAACACAAAGCAACTGAAGCAAACTTAATATCATTGTCATCAGAGAAATGAAATATACTTTAATAGCATAAAACACTCATATCAAAGATTTTTTATTTTTTTTTTATTTATGAAAACATGGCAGTGAATGCTGGACAATTCAACAAAGGAAAGTAAGAAGATAGAACTAACCATCAATTGTAAGAAAACAAAATTGTAAGTGTTCTGGGATTGCAAAGGAAATATTTGTCACAGATTACTTCCACAATGCAGAGAATAAATCACTGTAAGTTGAGACTCAAATATCGGGAGCAGAAAGAAATGTCGAAAACTTGATTCACAGGTACTGTCTCACAAATCACAATGCACATGACCAGTCAGAAAAATAACTCACTCTCCGACAAACGCAGTAGCCAAAATACACAAAATCTTCTTTTTTTTTCTCTTGACTTGAGAACACCAACTGCCCTTTTGGCCGAGCATTTTTTCCATTTGTCGGCAACTGGGAGAGAACACCCAGTTTTTGCATATCAAAATACTTTTATAGCGATGCCTACAACTGACTTGTTTCCAATTCAAATATTGTCTTCAGCACGTCATGTGGAATACGTGCCCTTTTGTTTGGTAAGCAATTTTCTTTTTTGCCACATTTTCCATAACAGGATACATGCGACACACTTTCACTTGGTTTGACAAGACACCGTTTTCTTCACTATAGGTCATCAACAAAAGGAACAAACCAAGATACGAACCATGAATTGGAGATGTGAAAATCAAGTAAATACAAGAATTTAACTATCAGGAGGGGGGTTTGGAGAGTGTTTTAGCACATTGACTGCTAGAGGTCAATTACGAAATCTGACTTCAAACGCCCACTTTATAATTACCAACTTAAGCAATAAAACATTTTTAGGAGTTGATTTACAGCTTCAACTGAAATCATAACATTGTTTTTACACTGAAACATTACTGCAAATAAACTTGTTTTTGGCACCTGCAAATGAAAATCTATCAGAAAATACCAAGCACAAGATAATTCATAGCCAGTGTGTCATAATAATAACTAACAGATACAAATTAACTCATGGTTAGCAGTCAATATGTTAACAGATAACAGAAAATGCAATGCTGAAATTAGAAGGTACATTAGAACAGTGAAAGATTTCATTAGAAGCAAAGAAAAGTCTGCTGAAATGTTATGTAATATCAATCCTGGCATATGGCAATGAACACTGGACAAATTCCTCACAGAAGAGATGTAGTTCTTCAGGGGGATGCTGGAAGTTTGAAGGAAAATGGAAATGTGAGGAAGTCTTATACAATCAGTCAACTGGATTAAATGATTTGTGAAATGTTGCTGAAATATTCTTAGCCTGACTCACTTCCCAAAATTAGCATTTCAATAAAAATTTTAGAATTATTTTTGTTGTCAGAACTGACAAAAAGATTTGTAACAGCCAAAAAGATTCTGGGAACATTGTTATTATTATAAATAAAATAAAATATAAAATAATAATAATAATGAAAATTATAAATAAAAATTTAGACATTTTTAAAATAAATAAAAAAATTAAAAATTACTCCTATCATGCAACAGAGACTGTACCTGCTGGAAATATGAACATCCTGCCAAAAGACACGAAATTCAATTTCTTTGCCCACAGACTGTTGGGATGACAGCACGTATTTAAAAAGCGTCCATGATAGGACTTGTGATATTACGAACTGACTTACTCCCTTTTTATAACATGAACCTTATTATAGTTGTAATGTAAAACACATACATGCAAATACATAAATAAAATTGTATGAAATTTACAATGTTTTTTATTGTTATTGTGCAAGTTTGTTTGTTCTGTTTTTCCTCATGAACACAAGTCCAAACTTATGACCACATGGTGTGAGTGAATATACCTCCACAAAATCCTTAATAGTTTTTTTTGTTTTTTTTCAAATATTCAATATTTTTGATTCATTTTGATTTCTTGTAAAATAACTGCATACCAGAGACAACCTAACAAATGATCTTGGGTAATCTGAAATAATTAAAATCTCCCTACAGAAGTAGACAGATAGATATGAACAGACTAAGATATATAAGGCAGGAGATAAGAGGCTAAGTCAAAAGATTATCTACACTTTCACAGTGACATATCTTCAGGTTTGTCAAACTGCCTTCTGCCCATGCGTGCTTATAATTGATACTATTGTGGTCACAGGATAAAAGTTTCAGCTTGATCGTGCCAGTTTTTGTGTTCTGAGTTTCAGCCCAGACCAGACACCAGGTTCACTTCCAGTCAAACGCTTGTGGCTTAAAAATATGAATGAAAAACAAAACAATTTTTAGCAGTAAACCAGATTTTATTCTTGGGTTATAACCAGCTGGTATAAGTGAGCAAATTATGTGGGTGAGGAATGGGAAGTTCTCAATCATAGTGGCTCTGTCCATTGTCTGAGGCCTGCTTTGTATCTCTGTGTGTGCCTTTTCCTGGGATGGTCAGTTTTATAGATAACAATTTTCTTTGTCTTGTCATCTTCATCTAGAAAAGAAGTAATTTATCTTCATTCCATAATTTTTTTTCCTCTGTCTGTGACTCTTGCTATGTACTTTGAAGTTGACTTCACTTACTGATAACCATCAGTCAAAAGTAAATGTTCCGTATACATTTTTGCGACAAGTCCAACTGTTTTCAATTTAACAACACCTCAGCTTACTCATATTGCTACAGTGTAAACATAACCACTCCTAATCAAATTGCTAAAACAGATATCTTTTTATGCGACAGTATATCAGTTATTTTCAGTCATATATTGTTTGTTTATGCTTTGGTCATTTTTTTCTAAAAGCTTTATAAAAGTAAAGTTTTTATATCAGGTTATCCTATGAGGTCTATTGGTAACATGTAACCCAGTACTACTGGCCAATTGGTTAGGTCTATTGGTAACATGTAACCCAGTACTACTGGCCAATTGGTTAGGTCTATTGGTAATATGTAACCCAGTACTACTGGCCAATTGGTTAGGTCTATTGGTAACATGTAACCCAGTACTACTGACCAATTGGTTAGGTCTATTGGTAACATGTAACCCGGTACTACTGGCCAATTGGTTAGGTCTATTGGTAACATGTAACCCAGTACTAACTGGCCAATAGGTTAGGTCACTGGCAACTAAACAAGTTTCTCAACAAGGTATTTTTGGTAAGGAGAGTGACTAGACACTCAGCAGGATTTAAAAAAAAACTATCAAAAGATGGATTAGCCTTTTCATAGGGGTCAACAGCCATCTAACACAATGTCATAGTCTGTGCTCTATAACTATGTATGCAGCCATTGTGGTATTGACATAGTACTCCTGGGCAGAGAGCCTCCTAGACTTAAATCAACAGCCGGGGTGGAGTGGTGTCCAACAGCTACATGCCCATGACCAAGGCAAACCTTCAAGTTTGAGGACATAGGTTGTGGTTTGACCTGGAGATGAATGGTCTTCATCAGGTTAATGACTATCTCTCTGGCTTTCAGCCCAGATATGTAGAGGGGACTGGTACTCAGCTGTGCAATGACCCTACGACCACATCTGTTCGTGGGAGTGATGATGATGAGGGTGATGATAGTAAAATTGGCTATTTTCTTAATTGCTCAGATTTTTTTTTTATTTGATTTTTTTTAATCATTTCACCCCAAGTAAGGGAACAATGCCACTAAACTATGATAGAATCAACATTCCAGGACCAACTGAATATGTTCAGCTTCTTTCTAAAGCAATTGATGCAAACTATAGTAAACCAATGTGTCTGTATTCATTCTTGATATTTAAAGACCAGAATAAGGCCAAATAATTCTACCGATATTACATAGATGTGAATGGTGTTAGAAAAGGATAAAGAAACATAACCCAGGCTAAGATAAATAGAAGTTTAATATGATAAAAAGAAAGATTTTATACTATATTGGTATTACAGATTTTACAGGAAGTTAGTCTTATTCCAGTCATGAAAATAGAATGGTACTCTCTGTATTGAAAAGCAACTTTCATTGCCTTGTCCTTGACTAGAATTTAAACATTGATGCCTGAGCATTCCTACCGCTCATCGCATTCCCAAATTTAGAACAGATTGTATAAGTTGTATAAATAGATAGATCGATAAACTAAATAGACAGGAACAGATTGGCAAACATAAATAACAAATCATGTGAGATTGATATACAGAGACTAATATAAATAAAGAATTCATTGTGGTAAATATAAGAACTTATATTATGAGTTTAGTTTAGTCTGACACAAGGTCTGCAAGTGTGAAGAACACATCAAGACTTAACTTGGTGCACAGAAGTAATGCACTGCCTAATTCATTAACCATTACCCCATAGTGCAGCATCTGAAACTATTTATTAAACTTAATGTTGAACAAGAATACAAATACAGGATTCAATGCCTTACAATGAGGCATGAATTGAACATGTGATCAACAACGAAGTTTTAGAAAAAAATGGAAACAAAATAGACACTTATAGTTAACATCAGAAAAAGACAGTTGGAATTTCTAGGCAACATAATGAGGAAAGAGGGTTTAGAAAATTTGATACTCACAGGACATATTGAACACAAGGAGGACAGGGGAAAACAGTGCATAACCTATATAATGAGCTTGTGTAGATGGATGGCAAAACAGGGTTTAGGAGGAGAGATAGCAAAAAGAAAATTTACTAAGAGCTAGAGAGAGCAGATAGAAGAATGGTCTTCTCAAGTTGTTCAGTCAGTTACAAGGTGTAAAGATTATGTTAAATACAAGTCATTCCATGTCAAATCAACAAGGTACTGACCATCATCGACACAGATTTTTTAAAAATTTACTACACTTATAGAGCTTCATGATAGAAATTGAATAGCACCTATTTTACATCTCTAGGTCAAAAGGTTCCCAAGATATGACCATTTGACCATTACCAAAAACGTGAATTCTGGAAAATAGCCACAAAGTTGAAATATTAATATCTCAGTTGTTTTTGCACTTACAAAGCTAAATTATACACCATAATATACCATTTTAAAGTATTTGGATGGATCTAAAATGTGATCTATTTATCTTTTTGTTTAAAGGTTAAATAAGATAATTTGGCCATGACCTTAACCTTTGACCTTTAATTTCACATAAATACTTCTAAATTTTTTTTTTTAAATTTGACAACATATTTGTCTGCTTTTTGGCAAGATATGTACAAAATTTTATGGTAGACTTTTTACTATAGATAAATAGATAGATAGGCACAAATTTAGATCAATAGACAGCTAAATACATAGAAAAGTTATGGGAATTTAGATAGAACCGGAGAGAAACGGGTGGCAGAGACAGAGCCGGAGAGAAACGGGTGGCAGAGACAGAGCCGGAGAGAAACGGGTGGCAGAGACAGAGCCGGAGAGAAACGGGTGGCAGAGACAGAGCCGGAGAGAAACGGGTGGCAGAGACAGAGCCGGAGAGAAACGGGTGGCAGAGACAGAGCCGGAGAAAACGGATGGCAGAGACAAACCCGGAGAGAAAGCAGGTGGCAGAGACAGAGCCGGAGAAAAACCCGAGGTGGCTGAGACAGAGCCGAAGAGAAAGACGAGGAGAATGGGTGGAGACAGAGCTGGAGAGAAACGGGTGGCAGACAGAGCCGAGAGAAACGGGTGGAGACAGAGACAGAGAAACGGATGGCAGAGACAGAGCCGGGAGAAACGGGTAGAGACAGAGCCGGAGAGAAACGGGTGGCAGAGACAGAGCCGAAAGAAATGGGGTGGCAGAGACAGAGCCGAGAGAAACGGGTGGCTGAGACAGAGCCGAAAGAAACGGGTGGCAGAGACAGAGCCGGAGAGAAACGGGTGGCAGAGACAGAGCCGAGAGAAACGGGTGGCTGAGACAGAGCCGGAGAGAAACGGGTGGCTGAGACAGAGCCGGAGAGAAACGGGTGGCAGAGACAGAGCCGGAGAGAAACGGATGGCAGAGACAGAGCCGGAGAGAAACGGGTGGCTGAGAGAGAGCCGGAGAGAAACGGGTGGCAGAGACAGAGCCGGAGAGAAACGGGTGGCTGAGACAGAGCCGGAGAGAAACGGGTGGCTGAAATAGAGCCGGGGAGAAACGTGTGGCTGAGATAGAGCCGGAGAGATAGAGATGAACAAACAGAGATAGATATGAACATACTTAGATAAAAACAGAGAGAGAAAATCAGACTTAGATAACACAAAATTTTAAAACAATTTTTATAGAATTACTATAAGAAAAAAAATTTAACCCCGTAAAACAACAAATGCATATTGCATTCCAAATGTCCTCATCCAAAGGAATTTGACCAAATATCCACAGCTTAAGGAATGTGATTGTTGTCCCTACCCTTAGAAATTTGGCCAATCTATGAAAGTCTTGGTTCTTCTTTGTCACACTTCTATAGCAATAACTGTCAAAGGAAATTTCATGAGTCAAATAAACTCACTGACCAAATTCAACTACAAGCATTCCATTAAATCCTGAATAAAACATTATTGCGTAGAATTAAATAAAATTTAATAAACAGGAGACAATGTTAGTCAGCTTCTGTGACTTGTAGAAGTATACATTTCCAAAATGTTATTCTGAAAATTGATCGCATTCTTTTTATCGTTACCACATTTCAACCCCTTCCTTGGTTTTCTCAAGTGTAAAATCTTTCCTGAATGTTGTTTTTTTTTCTTTTCTTTTCAGATAAATGTCCATAAACATTTTTTTTTTATTTACTGTTGAAAAATGTAAAAGACAAAAAAATGTTTGTGAACATAGTAATCAGACTAAGTCATTATGCCAAGCCTCAGAGTATCTCATGTGACACAGGCATTAAACATAAGTTTTCTCTCCAAGGTTTTCTCTTGTTCAGCAAAGAAATACACACAAACCTTCTTCTATATGCAGTATCTCTTCAGGACATTTGCAAACATGGCTCTCAACAATTTTTTGTCCATTTTTAACTCTCGTAAACCCCGTTCTCACAGCCATTTACTGAAGCTCGCTAGGTAGTTTATGCATTGTTTTCTCTTGAATGTCCAGTGATTATTGAATTTTCCAAGCCCTCTTTCCTCATTAGGTGACCTAGAAATTTTGACTATTTCTTTCTGATGTTAAGTGTGTCCTTTTTGTTTCCATTTTCTTTAAAACATCATCATTGCTTACATGTTCAGTCCATATTATTCTCAGCATCCTTCTGTAGAACATTTCCTATGCTTCCAGTCTCTTCTTCAACTGTTGTCCAGCTTTACTTAATTTCCCACAGGGTTAAAGTAGGTAGCTTTCTTAATTTGCTCATGCTTCAGCAATGATCCATATATACTTGGATATTATCACAAAAGAGCTAGTGATTAATTTTCCTTCTTAAACTGATGTCTTCTTTCATCCCTTGAGGATGTGAGTAAGCTTGGCTCTCCACAGCTTAGGCTTTATATCTCTGAATAATGTTTGTTTCATTATTATCTCCTCTATGACTATCCATTTATATAAGCTCATTAGGTAGGCTTCATTTGCCTTCATGATTTCCTGTGAGCATCAAATTCTCCAAGCTTCTTTTCCTCCTTGTGTATCCAAGAAATTTCAACTGTCTCTTTCTGATTCTAAGTAAAAAAAAAAAAATTCTTTCTGATCTCTTTTCTTTTTTTTTTTTCAAACATTTCTTCACACATTCCATCTATGCTATTCTCAGCTTTCAAATCTCTACTGCCTAAATTTCCTCTTCATCTGTAAGGAAACTACCTAGCATTCACTGCAATATCACTCAATCCTCATAGAGTTTCCTGTGGAATGTGGGGACACAGCTGTCAACCGGCTAGGCATTGCTGCTGTGGTTTTCATGGCAAATAAGCTTTTCACTTGCTAGCCCCATGACCAACTGGTTTTGAATTCAGAGTTGTCCTTCTCCTAGACTGGTTGACAACCAAGATTGAAGAGTTTACTCTACCCTACTATTTAACACATAGCTGAGGGAGAAGAGATGGATTTATACTTTTCCAAAGGATATTTGCATGAGAGTGGATGCAATGAACTTGACCAGAATTCACATTCACCTTTGGATTTCTCATTCCAAGCTTCCAACCCTTACACCCTGAAAACATTCACTGCTATTATAGTTGGATTCATATTCTCAAAAATTCAGAATGTATCTAAATGTTTCATAGCTGTGTAGCAGTAAGTTCATATTCCCTTAAATGCTCAAAAATTTATATCCTTGTGTCATGTTTTTTTTTTATTTCAAGTAATAAAAAGATAATTCAAAGGTTCTGAACAACATATTAAAAATGCATATATTTCCAAAGTTTGTAATAAACAGATTAGCCGTAATCCATATTTAGTGTTGCAAAAAATGCAACTTTAAACCAGATTTGACCAGATTATATAAACAAAAAGAAAGAAAAAAAGAGAGAGAGAGAGATGCTGATTCATTTTTTATGACTTAAACCTTTGCAGGTTATCTAAAGCCAGAAAAAAAAAATTTACATTGTAAGATTTTCTTTTTGAGATAATAATGATTTAGTGATACAAGTCTTATCTAATTAACCCATAGCTGGGGAGAGAAGAGTTGGATAAATACCTTTCCCAAGGATACAAGCATGTAAATGAACATAACATACCCAAATGGAATTGGAATTTGGCTTTCCAGTAAACAATTCTGAGTCATTATCCATTACATTACCTACACATCCAAGCTTACAGCACCTAACATTCCCAAGTGGTCACCTATCTAGGTACTGACCAAGCTCGACATTGCTTAACTTTAGTGATCATGTGGGAAGTGGTGTTTCGATGTGATGTTGCTATAAGCTCATACTGATTCTGAGAACAAATCTATAAAATATTGACAGAATGTTATACACAGTAATTTCAGATATATACACTAGAAATTGCCAGTACTCTGCAAAAAAAGAATTTTCTTGTTAATTAATAAGAGACACATTATTCTTTGATGTACAGTATCCCTTCAGGATGTTGGTAATCATGGCTCTCCCCAATTTCCTGTACATTTTAAGCTCTTAATTTTTTTTTTTTTTTTTTGTTATCTCTATTAAACCTTGTTCGGCCATCCATTTACCCAAGCTCACTAGGCAAGTTATGCATTATTTTCCTCTGGACTGAATTTAATATCAATAAGAGTTGATCTGTGGTCATCCCAGAATTAACTAGGCTCACCCTAAGTGATACAAAAGTAGATTTTAGCAGCCTTTTTTAGAGTTATAAAGCCACAGATGTTTTTTCTTTTAAGATGATGTTCAACCTGTAGAAGAGCCACTCAAGGTAGAATGTTACAGAGTAAGAGGTACAGTTTAACATTCAAGAATATCTATATCTGGATCCAAAATTATTTGCTTTAACTCCCTGCTTCAATATACTGAGTAAAATACATTTCACTTATATTGTTCATAATAAAGAAGAAAAAAAAACAAATAAAGTGAAAAAAAGGATGAAATAAAATTAACTTGGTGAGTCAGATTGCATAGGTGTGAGCCCTATCTGAGCTGGAGACATACTTAATAGGCAATGTATCTAAAATGACTTGTATGCCCTCTTTTTCCAAAGAATACATTTTTTTCCAACTTATTGTTTTCACGTCCATTTTAAATAATTTATTCCATACAGTATAAGGGTTTTAGCACACTGTATCAATTGAAAGAGGGCAAATTAAACTTAGCCTGACCTGAAGTCCATGAAAATCAAAGAATGTGGCAGGCTTAACTCATTGACTGGAGGGTTGGGATGAGGAGTGTGACTGGAGTAGTATTGAGGAAATATGATATCAGTCAGCAGTACTGATTATAAAACTAAGAATTCACAGAGATATACATAGACATATATACAGACCCACACTCCAGAAAATTACACATTATTTAAAAAAAAAAATAATAAATCATCTGCCTAAAGATTTTTTAAAATCATATATTTTAGCATCTAAGTTATATCAATAGTTTATTTTGTTAAAGATTGTAATGAGCCCAAGAAATACTGATGACCTACAGTTGCCACTGATTATATATATATATATATATATATATATATACACACAAAAATAAATGGGAAGAGATATCAATAATCTGATACAACACACACTGGTATAAAAATATACAAGTCAGCAAATCTAAATATTCTGCTGTTTTCTTTTCAAAGCTTTTATAAGATGATGAGCAACAGTTCAGATAAGATTTCAAGTGAAAAACATCATTAAACAAACTTTAGTTGCTACAACAATATCCTACCAAAAACATGGATGCAGCTTTGACCTTATTCTGAAGCACATTGTAACAGATTTCTTCATCAGCTTTAGCATGGCTCATTTTGTTTATTCAAGGTCAGAATCTCTATAAAATGGCATCATTCAACCTTGACTTGAAATACATTATTCAGTGAACATTTTTTATATTTCTCCTTTTATTCTTGGGAAATTTCTTGACCTTATCCAATAAACATATTAGATGGCATCATGAAAAGCAAGGCTTTCTTCAATAATATGGATTCTCTTTTCAATTAACTGGCGCAGTATAGATATCAATATATGAATGCTATATCAACTGATAATAAAGATGAAAAACTATCACTGCATTTTTTTTCACCCCAAGCAAAGTGGTAATGCCAGAGGGTTACAGGGAGTGAAAATGAAAAAAAAAGAGAAGAGTTAGAATAGGCAGGATTGGAAAAAAAAAAAAAAAAAAAAAAAAAATGAACAGGGTTCAAGAAGACAGAAGATGGCTATTGGCATCGCATTTAAATTTTTGAAGATTATAGTTATCAAGGAAGCAAGGACACAGAAGGGAGTTCCACAAGTTGGAAGTGTGAGAAAAGAAACTGTTGGAGTAGAAATGGTGGTTACATTTAGTTATTTATTTCAACATTAAAATAGTGGGACCTAGTTACCAATCTAGTAACTCATGTAGATGTGTCGCCAGGTAAAAAAGCTTGTTAGAGCAGTTAGTGTAGAGTGAGTGGCCATGGTTAAATGTAAATAAATGGTAGAACTGCCAAACAAACAGAATTGACAAAGTTTGTAATAAACAATTTCAATAACAAAAAAAGAAAAGAACAGGATAAAAATAATATAAAACAAACAAATAACATATGTAAGGCAAATTAACAATATGGCAAAAAGTTCACAGACTAAGAATTGGGGTTGACACACAAGAGCAAATTCAGATAAGTGAATGTAGCATTCTGATTTCAAAGCAAGACAAATAAGGACTGAATCAGATGACACTGAGAATTGGCCTATCTTATTGGCTAGTGTTAAGATAGAAGTCATGGTCCAAATGCAAGATAAATAGCACAACTGTCCAAACGAACAGAATTAATAATATTTGCAATAGAAAGAAAGAGGAGCAAAAATTAAATGGTATCAAGTAAGCAAACAATATAAGTAAAGTAAATTCACAGGTAAGAAAGCAAAGAAGCTTACAAACCACAAATTAGCATCTACGTAGAAAAGCTAGGCTGGACAAGTGAACCCAATGATCTTCCATATAGACAAGATAGATTTGGACCGAGTCAAGTCAAACTGTAAATCGATCTATTTTACTGACTAAGAAATGTATCCCATCATGCATTTTGTGGATTTTTGCCTATAAAAGGAGAGGGGAAAAACTTTTGCAGTCATTCCTGGCAGATTGGAAATCAACAGCTAGGAAGAAATCAGAGCACTCATTTGTGCTCTTCTGCCTATAAATTAGGAAGAAGAAAGTGTTTTGCAGTCATTCCAAGTACAACTGGAACCAACAGATGCCATGAAAATATTTGTAGAAAAGACAGAGGGCAGCCACAGTGAGAAAGTGGCTGAAACTGAAATGAATGGTCAGGATCAATTACATTACAGATCCTTCTTTGAATTTTGTAAAAAATAAAAAAAATAAAAATTGAGACAAGTTCATATTACCATGCAAAAATCTTTTATGAAAACCAATGTCACTTTTGTTAGTTTTGTCCTGCTAAAGCACATCTAAAATTACTACCAAAACTTGTGTATTAGGCAAACCAGTAGATAAGTCAATGTCAATTTTTGATCCTTGAATTCTTTTCTCAGGTTCAGATCTTTAAAGTCTAGATATAACCATGCCACATACACAGTGCTGAATCATCCTCATTCCTTTTATATTCCTTTGATAAGAAGAAAGTACCATTCAGCTTCTCCCTGAAAATGGATACCATATCAAAAAGACTCCTGAAATGATGCTTCCCTGATCTTTACAAACTTAACCTCTTCAATGTTTAGGGTTCACTGTTATCTATCCTACATATCCTCATAATCTGCACTTCTTCCTCTTACATCCATATAACAATCTCAATCAGTAACTTTCTACCATAAGTGGCTCTTTGGCATTGTCCTGCATGAACATTTTGTAAAAAGAAAAAGAAAATATGCCCACTGTTGGTCAACTACTGAAGTACTGGCTTCCACAAAAAAGATCAATGACAAAGATTTATACAGAAAGAATTACTTTCATGTCTTGAATGGCCATTCTTCTAGATCTTTTTGCATTAATGCCAGTGACCTCCAGGGTTTTTTCCTTGGACCTATATTGTTCCCAATTTTCATCAACAACCTTCCTGCTATCATCAGTTCTCAAATTGGTATCTACGTTGATGACAACTATAAAAAAAAAAATGACCTACAATCTGTTGTTAAATGGGGCAAGAAATGGCTTGTTAATTTTAATGCCTATAAAATAAAACTGCTCTCATTTAATCAGTTGAGAACATTTTTTGCCTTCCATCAGTGGAAAGATTATATTGAATCAATCGCTAGGTCCTCTGCTAGGAAATTTTTTCCCTGTAGTGTGCTTAAAAAAAAAAAATAATTATATATATATATATATATATATATATATATATATATATATATTCTCCAAAATTTATCTTACATATTTATAAGTAGAAGAATCTGCAACGGTATTGGTGCTGACCTGGTATCTTGGCTTCAGTCACTTTCCCACCGCCATAATATAGCTTCTTTGTGCCTTTTCTATAAATACTTTCATGGTAATTGTTCTGATGAACATTCCTCCATGGTACCTAGACTTTATGAATTTAAGCACAGTACTAGATTGGCAGCTAGGTCTCATCATTTTACAATTGAAATGGCTAGATGTAACTAAGTTGCATACTAACAGTTTCTTTTATCAAACTTTTTGCTTGTGAAATTCTCTTCCAGCTTCTTTCTTTCCAGTCAACTTTGATCTTCAAAAATTTAAATGCAATGTCAGTCGTTCTGTCTATTCTATTATATTCCTGTTCTTTTATTGTTCTCTCTCCTTAATAGTGTTTTTTTGTCATATTTTCTCACACTCAGTAACTCCTTGTGACTTAGTGGCTTTATTGCCTGGCTCCAGCTGAAAAGATTTTTTAAAAAATAAGAAAAATCATTCCAGATTTTATTATCAGCATACTGTGGAATAAATTTTTTGTTACTTTGGTTATAAATAATTTATAAATACATAGAAAACAATAAATGTATGCAAAACATGAAAGAAAGCTATATTTTGTGATGTAATGATGATCTTACTGAGCCCAATCATAATTACAATTTATGGGAAGCAACTCAAACAACAAACATGCCATGCCCACAAAAAATGCAACTAGTTAAAATTAATAATTGTTTATTGAATAATGATAGATTAATATACAGTGATGTGTTGATTTTGTTCCAATTCTGGCTTTTGACGGATTGTATCCTATAGCGTCATATGCCCAGGATGGGTCAGAAGTTTTCCTTCAGCTATTATTCAATCCAGCTAGTATTAATATTGGCTAACATATTAGTACACTAATT